CTGGTTCACACCCCGAGGACTCCAGGGTGCTGGGTTTAACAGAATGGGATCGCGTCACTACCATATTTGTATCTTCGGTTTTGTCGACTGAGTTCATTATAATGGGAATACGATCACGCCGTTTTTGTATTTGTATTACTGTGTTTACACAATCGATAGCATGGAATAGTATGACCCAATGTGGTCGATATATATACTAAAATGGGTGATAGTCGAGGGTGTGGTCCACCAATCAAGGTTGAACTGTCGACCACCCCACTGCGCTGGTCCAAGACGGTCTGCCATGTGGATTTGTACCCATTAATGCGGTCTGGTTTGGTTTTGGTTGACGGCTTAGTGGAGCGTCAGTCCGAATAACCGACAATATAACCCGCATGTGGATTCACTTATTGATCACACTTTTACTTTTCTCCTTATAACAAAACAAACAAAACCCAAACCCCTAAAACCTTGCCGAAGAAAAATCGATTTACCCCAACACCCCAAAGGTAGCCCTAGATAGAACAACCTAAACCCTAACCCCAGTAACCTCCAACCCTAAAACAACAAAATGCTTTACCACTATACCAACCCTATCTTTGCCGCTGCCGCCGCGTACCTGGCGATCCAGTCTCTGATGCCCTTTACCGCTGCCGCAGCGCCAACCATTCACCCCTACGCCCGGGTGACCGATGACGTTCAACCCTCGGTTATTTACGAGCCGTTTGAGTTCCCCCTGACTCCCTTCGCCCCGGACACGAACACTATGGTGCTGAACATTGGTCTCGTGGCCCATACTTCGAACGTGACTGTTGCGGATTACATGGTGTTTAGCCTGGTCGAGTCCATCGCCCAATCTAACCCCGAAGCTGTAGTCTACGAGATTGACGCTGCTGACGTAGACCCGATGGCCCGCACTATACCCGTTGCCCCTGCCGCGGCTGAGCCCCACGAGACGCGCTATCTCGAAGTCCGTATCGACCCGCTATGTATGAGACCGTAGTCAATAATGTCAACAACATTTACATTGACGGTAATACGGTTGCCGGAGATCTAGTCATTGACACATCTATTGATGTCACAAACGGCGGCGGCAACACGGTCACTAACAATGGTGGCGGCAACACTGTTAACAATAACAACGGTGGTGACCAGGACACCCCGACTATGGTGGTAAAGGAGTGTCGCATCACACATCCCGACGACACACTGAACCAGTACCTCGACATTGTCAACAACAAGGCTGTTATGGTCACTAAGAAGCCGGACCGCTGGATGATTGAGTATGTTTCCGAGACCGAGTTTACTATGCGTCGCGGGGCAAAGTATCTGGTGGCTGAGGACACCACGGTCCCGGGTACGAATGGCGACAATATCCGACTCACCGTCAACACGAGCAAGACCGCCCCGAAAAACAAGTGGATCATGAAGGAACAGGTCTTTATCCAGAGCGTGGCTAACGATTATATTGTGGTCAACTACTCCAGTGCCGATGTGGTCATGTTGATGGTTGCCGGCATATTTATCGAGTACGAGGACCAGAAGTGACATTTTGTAGACTGCATCTAGAAAGCGCCGTCACAGATCGCTGTTGCCCACGTACGGGAATTTGTATGCTGAATTTTAACGCTTAATACAATGGTTTCCCGCATAATAAAATGATTTCCCAAAAAAACCCAGTGTTGGCTGTAAAAGTTTAAGGCCCATTTTTAATACCCGAAACCCCCCAAAAAAACCGGTGGTTTTACGGTGGAACACGAGTATGAGTGCCACAAAACCCCTAAACCCTAACCCTAAACCCCGAGTAACGGAGTCTGGGGTTAGGGTTTTGTATTGATGTTTGTTCAGTGACTCATCGGATGTGGCTGTTTGATGATCCCCCCCGTCACGTACCACCCGGAAATACGAAATTATGACCCACAGGGGCCGAAACATCTTTCATTTCGTATAAATAGAGTGCGTATTCTCACTTACAACTCGTCAAAAGTACAAAACAGGATAACAGGATACGCGCGTTGTTCAACACCTAATGGACGTCACTCAGCTACACGCTGATACTTGGGGGATAATCACAAGCCATTTGTTCCTTGATGACGTATATCGGCTGTCTGCAACATGCCGCAGTCTCAGAGACATGAATCTGGTTCCAAATTACCTCAAGGGACGCGTAATAATCCAGAGGGGCGAGTCGTATCGCGCACCGCCGGTTACGGAACACTGGTGTTCTGTGCGAAATCTAACACTAGTGTTTAGTGACAAAAGGTTCAAGCGGTATGACGAGGAGGATTACATGACTTGCCTAGACGAATGGAAACCGCTGCTCTCGAAATATATATATATATATATGTATATATA